ATAGATTAAACTGATTGTGTTTTTTTTCTTCCCCGAACTAGTTTCAGTACAGTCCATCTTATTTTATGCTAAGCTATTTGGTTTGAATTTTTTTTACAAAGAACATTTTAAATATATATATTATCTGTCTGTCCTCTATTGTGGGCATGGGTCCACTCAGTTATCGTGAGTTATATGGCCCATAATTGTTTACAAGATTAGAGATGTATTCAATTCCCATAAATCTTGAGTTTCAGGATTACCACATACTTTTCTATTTCTTTAATTCATTCATTCTTCTCGAATCATATTGTCTATTCCTAGTATTTTCTTATTTTACTGATGCTGTTAGTAATTATACTACTGTGAGATTTGTTTTGATAAATTCTTGCTGACTAACTTATTATTTATTCAGTTTAACCATCTTATCAAAATTTCGTAGTAATTCTTAGGCATAACATGGATAGTTAAGGTATTCATTAGCTTTCCTATTTCTTCATTATCTAAAATTGACATTGACTTTTTAAAAAGACAATTTTATAACTAGTTCACTCTAAGAATCAATATCACTTCCTGACTTATTATTTACAATTAAGAAATACTAAACAAATATAAGCAAAGATGGATGGTGGCTAGCAGTGGAATCCAGGACGCGCGTTTCGCCCTATTCGGGACTCATCAGCTGGGTGTACCTGCATATAATGCTTGTGACTTAAGGATGCACATATGCCAATAAGAGACTGATCAATTACAGTCTTAGACATCAATGGGAAAATCCAAGCAAACAGTATAAAATGAATTTACTAAACAGATAGCTTGTTTATTCTAATTTTGAAAGCTCTGCATACAGAAATGACTAGCGATATCACGAGTTTTGTTTTCCCATATGTATGCATTTTTTGGGAAAGCTATATATGTATAGGGAAATGCTTTTTGATCTTTTCACTCGGTGTTCCTTTTTAAAAAAAATAAGAATTATTTATGTTGTTGAGTGATTTATCTACCTATTTGTTTATTTATAGTTTCCTATTGATTAGCTCTCTTTATACCATGTGATATATTATTTCTTATGGAGAGTATAATTTTTTTCATTAATTATTTCTTATTGTCGTAAACTGTCCTATCCTTTTTTGTTTTTTAATCCCTAATAGAATCTCTATTTTAAATTTGAAAAAGAAAAACAACAAATCAACGCAGCATTTATTATGCACATCTACTATTATTATTTATAATTAGTTGGATAAATTATATCTTAGCTGAATTTCCTTTGATTATTTGTGCTTTCTAGATTAAATGTTTGTGGATAAAAGTAATATAAATGTATGATTCATTTGTTTCTATTACAGAAAAATGAATAGGTCAATGGGAAGATACGAGTAAAACAATACCAAGTGAATTTAAATTCACTCCATTGCACAAGCAAGTGGCTATTAGGACTCAGTAGCTGAGTGAATAACGCGATGGCGTTTGAAGCGAATGATACTGGGTTCGAGTCCCAGAGTGAACATCAACCCTGAGACACAGGTACATCCAGCTGATGAGTCCCAAATAGGACGAAACGCGCGTCCTGAATTCCACTGCTAGCCACTATCCATCATTGCTTACAAAAAGCTTGTGAATTAAGGCAATATCGAGGCATACGCACAGTATGCATATATGCCAATAACAGACTGATCAATCGCAATCTTAAACCTCAATGGGAAGATACAAGCAAAACAATACCAAGTGAAAATGAATAGTCGTTTTCATTAGTATTTAATTGAGTGTGATATTTCAATCATTATCAAGCATAAATTAATTGATATTGGAAAATTTCTGTTTTTTCATTAGTTGAAAATTTGGCTTAAATCTGAGCTTCCTATTCAAGTTGACGGCGAACCATTTATTCATCCACCTGGTCAAATTACTGTACTACGTTCCGCATTGAGTGTAAGCGAGTCATTTTAGTTATTTTAATATAATGTTAAACTATATTCATCTAATTTTTTTTCTAGTCTATGTTTACATTTGCAAAGTTTTTATCTTCAATCTCTCACTTTTTATTTGATGCGCATGCTTTCATTGTGAGATAGTAGATCATTGATAATTAAGTGACATTGATGTTTTGTCGTGATTTACGGACACTTCATCCGAAACTCAGCTTGAGATTAAGCCGTAAACATTACGACCCTTGTAGCAAACACAATACTTCAAGACTAGATTTGAAATCCGGTCATCCACACCAACTTACATTTACTTCAAGTCATTTCATCTTATGGTAGACACAAAATAGCGGGATTCTTATTAATGATCATATCGATAGTATGGGTGAAACACGTAATAAGTCTATTATTTTACGGCTTTTCATTGACATAAAACTTTATATAATATTCAGTTTGTAAGTATATCAGCTTGATTACTTTAGTCATTTCCGCAATTTGTTTTATTCCATAATACGTATGTAGGCCAATATGTTAAGAAAGGTTAAACGACCTAAACGAAGACCTGGTACAGAGGACTATGGATTGAATCAATTATCATCTACTACAGATCAACAGTATCAAAATTCAATACAACAATATTCAACCATAAGATTACATGATTTCAGTTCATCATCTGATTATTCATCTTTAAACGTGATACAGAATATAAAGGAAGATTTACAACTTCCTATAAATAAGTTAAATATGGATCCATTCATTTCTGATACACCTACCTATAGTAAACCAATAATTAATTTAACATCAAAACCAATTTATAATAAGGTTAATACACCAACAAATACTGTACAGTCATCAACAGTGTCTGCAGTACCTTCAAATGATAACGACAATACCGCTGTTTATCATCAAGGAAGCCTTACAAACACTTTAAATCAATTAAGTTTAGGCAGTAATATTCGCAGTCAAGAAGTATTATCGTCTTCTTCTTCTGTCAATCTTTCTTCATCATTATTACGTATATGCTCATACACAACACTATCAGGTGACGACAGTGTGTGAAATTCATTCCTTTTCTTAATCGGATGAAAAGATATCTATTTTTGTATTTTTATGAATTATACTCCATGTGTTCGTCGGGAAAAAAGACACCAAGCAAGACTATTGTAATAATATATGCAAGCTGTATAATGTAACTTTATTATTTCATATCTTTTAGTAATGTCATTTCGAATTTTCCTTTTTTATTTTAAAGATAGGTTTGTCTTTTTCGAGACATATATTTGTTTCTTTTTGTAAATTCCATTATATATTAAGTCGTCTTTGATGTCACCGAATATTCTCATCCATCTTGTTTTATTCTCGTTAATATTTCTCTCTTCTGTATTTCCCTCCTTTTCAACGGGGTGTGTATCTTTTAATGGGAGAAGACTTGTTTTATTTGTTCATCTGTACATGTGTGTGTTCAATTTCAAAAACAGGTAGTAGGAATTCTTAATTATTGTTGTCATTTTGATTATCTACTGATTAGCAGTGTTATTAGTAGTATACATAACAACAAATTATTAAATTCAAACTATTGTTACGGTATAATTCAATCAGTCATTACCATTATTGAGTCGCGTTTTTTTAAAAATTAGATTATTTGTTTGTTAGTAGAATTTCCATCATATTTTACTCATTATTATATTGTTACGAAGATTAAAAAAAGTTAATCATAGAAGTCTATTGTAAACTAATTTTCATTAATGTATTCAAATATATAATGGGGTAAATAATCAATCATGAGCCGTGGTTTTACAGGTTAGCGTTTTTATGTCAATTCGTCTATTGTAATTTTGGTAGTTCCATTGTACATTGTCCTGAATGAAGTAGATCTGATGTGTACTTGTCAAATATTGGTTACTTATTTGTATTTGTCCTTTAGTTCATGGAAAGTGAAAGTAGTTGTTTGCTTCAATTGCGTAATTCTAAACCAAACTGTAAGGTAATCTAAATGTTACACATCTTGTGTCGTATTCATTTAATGACTATTCCGAAGTGTGTTATAGGTAAACAATACTTACAATAATTAGTCAGTTGTTAGTTATATTAGATTTTGTGAATGATTATGGACGGTATGCTTTAATATGGTAATAATTTTCGAGGGTGAACTTATCCATTTATAATCAATTTGTCCTATAAAATAGCGATTTCTAGAAAACTTAGTTTCTAAGTACTAATCCGAATTTATTTTCCGACTATTTAGTGTTTCACCTTTGAAAAATAACTGAAGCAGTCTGTTCAGCCTGTAGTAATCTAAAGATCCTTCCAAACTACTAAACTTTTTTCAAAAGTGGGAATTCCCTATTGATTATCAATTTTTGCAATAGTAAAAGAATGTTTATGTTGTTTAGATCAAGTTACATCTAATTAACTATTTAGTGATTAAATTTTGGCTGGCTTAACCGTAAAATCACAATATAGACAAATCAATTTTAGGCATCCAAAATAATCTCAACAATAAAATTCTATTGGTTTACAAGATCATTTGTTCAAACTGTTTGAGAAGTGCAAATGTCCCGATTTAAATTCTCGAGATAAAATTCATTTTTCTCTGAGTCTTGGACATATTATTATCCCCACATTTCATTTTATTTATTCCTTCCAATATTTCCCGCTTGTTTTACACCAATGTTGAATATTCATTCTTGTGATGTTATGTGAGCTATAACAATATGGACAGATAGACGTTACTATCAGGTTCGGAGTTGTTTATGTCTCTCTGGCTACAAGATGAAATGCCTTGTTCATGAACTGTGTACAGCACATTTAAGAGATCACAGCATTGTATTCTATAAATGCACTCCAATAAGCAGTAAGTGGAAATACTTGCTGGCGCTAAAATATCACTATTCTGCAAACAATGGCAGGGTAGTAGTTAAAGTAAGCTACTCAAATATATGTAGAAGTTATACATATTCAAATTACGGATGTTCAAGTCAGTCTCAAAACGCTTGATAGTCCAAACAGACTGCACAAAATAAGTACAATTTGTAAGAAACGATTATAACGAATTGTTTGAATTCAACCTACTCGTCGATTACTCCAAATTAACGAATACGGTATAAGAACTTTTTTTAAAGAGTTACTGAAGATTCAAAAGTTGCGCACTTTGTAGGTTGAATGTATTTTCTAGCGTACAATAATTATGCATCACACTCATCAAACGGATAAACACAATTATCTCATACAAATAAGACCATATTATAATTCAAATATTGCTTATCACATATTGTTGGTCAGTCAAGAGAAAAATGACAAAAATGCAACTCTACCAAGGAATATTTTGAGGAATATAGAAAATTAAAAAAAGAAAAAAAACTTATTTTGCTCACTACAACAATATACGAAGTGACAAAAACGAAGATAAATGCAAAAGTAACTAGAAACACAGAGGTCGTTATGAATAAAATTATCAGAATCGTATACAGAAGTGTTTGAATTGTTACTAATTGTTGTGACGAGATTATTATGTAATTCATGGTGATTAGTCTCAGTGTTCAAATCATGATGACGGCTCGAGACCGAAATCAATTAGATGTAACCAAACGACGGCGAATGCATGATTCAGTTACATCACCTAGTAAAAATTAAAGAATATACCTTATCATTGCCAGAAAATGAAAGGACACATGTATTACGTACTACTGTTAAAACTCATGGAGCATAGGTCACCTACCAGCACTCTCCATCCAACTCTGTCCTACGCAATCCTTTCCGGTTCTTTCCAGATGCTATTCATTCTTCTAATGTCTGCTTACAATTCCCAACGCAATATGTTCCTAGGCTTTCCTCTTTTCCATTCACCTTCAGTAATACAAGTTACTGCTTGTCTCATGATGCAGTTTGATGATTTCCATAATGTATATCCTATCTACCTCCAACATCTTTTCCTAATTCCCTCTTCATCTGGAAGCTGGTTTATTCTCTGTCACAGTGGGTTGTTGCTGATGGTATCCGGTGAACGAACATTGAGTATCTTGTGTAGACAGTTGTTTATAAATACTTGTACATTTTTTATTATGGTTGTAGTCGTTCTTTAAATTTCAACTCCATAGAGTAGAACTGGCATCTGCAAAGACCGAATCTCCTAATTGCACTCAAGTTGTCCATTGTATTCGGTGCTTTCACTGAGATGTGGAGGTCTTCATAATGCAGTAAACCACCAGAAGAAAGATAAAGGGAGAGGGTAAGCAGCGTTGTCTGACACCGTACGCATCTCATCCTATGATATCCTCGTATCCGGTGTTGTCCATTCCGACTTTGGCGTTTAGATCTACCAGGATGGTGAGGTCCTTTGTTGGGAATTTTGATATGATCGATTGCAGCTTCGCGTAAAACTTATCTTTATCGTCTTCCTTGTTATCATTAATGGTTGCATAGCACTGGATAACATACATTGTGATTCCCTTCTTTGTTTTGATGCTTTGGTGATCATGAATCCATGAGATTTCCACCCTATAAGTGTTTTCCGTGCCTCGTTGGACAGCATCAGAGCAACTCCCTGTGTGTGCGGAACCAATTTTTTCTTCGTGACCCGAGTACAGCAGCAACCCCCCCAAATCTAACCTTTTCTGTCAAACTTGGGTCCACTGATCCCGAGCGCCGTCAAGTTGTATCGTATTATTATTATTAATGGCTTTATTCAATATTATATTTTGGTACAACATAGAATTCTCATTCCTGTAACTATTTGACTGGTTCTTCCGGTCTCCAACATTGTTCGAACATTCCATGTGCCTGTATTAACTATTGCTCTGGTTGTTAGAAGGGGCATTGGCCTCGTGAATTCCGAAAAGTCTCGGATTTCATTATGAAGCGTCATAATTCTTCTGAATAAATATCCTACAACTCCCAGGGCAGAGTTTAAATGGTTTGATTTGCTTGTTCTGGTTAGCGTTTTTAACAAGGTTTTCCACAGGATGGGATTGCTGACGCCATACCCAACTCTCTTCCTTTACATGGGCTTGGGACCGGTAGTATATATTTACATAGGGCGAGAAAGGTTGATCACAGTGAACTTCGGTTGTACTTTAGTTATAAAAAGCCTTATAAAGTGATTTACGAACGTAAATTCTCGCTTTTGATTAGTCATAAACCACTGTTTACATTATCTTGAAAAGTACACAGGCGTACAAGCCTATTAAAACATATAGCTTAGGAATAATCCTGTTGAAATTCGATGGCTAATGTATAAGAGTTGATAATGAGAATCGGAGAAACTTTTGAAGAAGGAAACTGGTACTAAGCAAAGTAGACTCTAGTACTATTAGAGATGTGTGAGAGGTCGATACTAAAATTCACGACAATGTGAGATAGTTTCTCCTTGAGAACGCTAACTGGGAAGCATGGGCAACAAATGTTCCAAGGAGTACACGAGTTCAACCTTGTAGTAGTACATGCATTCTAAACCTCCGTCATAACGGATTTCGTTAGAAAATTAAGAAACTTTTACTATGAAGCAGATTAAGTTATGTAAGATCGGTACTTCATATAAGTTTTTCAAATGATAATGAAAAGATAAGGTTGAATGTAATTGAAATAATGCTAGCAATCATATATTTAGGTGATCAGATAGCCCCTTGTACACATGCCCACTTCATAATATTGCAGTTTACAGTACGAATAAAGAAAATTAATGTTCGCAAGCTTAAAAGAGCATATTACCTGCATAAGATATTACGAAATCAACATTGCGGAATCCATTTCTCTAGGAGATTTCCATATTCTCTTCAAACATGCATGTATTGGCTTTTCTTACACGACTAGTCTGATATAATATCAAAACTGCTTATTTATTTATTTTAACACATAAATATTGATAAAAAGGGGCACCGAATACATATGCGCTACACAAGTCACTTGATTTGTGTGTGGGCTGTGATACTGACCAGGTTGCCCAGACCGAGGCAGGTGATTTCCTTATGGGGCCACACCCGGAGCCCTCGACCTATAGGTCTGATCCACAAGGCAGTGGAGCAACGTAAGAAAATGCAGTCCCATGGTAGCCGATGACCAACGATTGGTTCATACGCCATTTTTTCCATCAGGATCCTGGAGCCCATGTGACCATTGGTTTGGAATCAGATTTTTCAACTCCCCTATGTGGACCCCTCCGTGCCAGTAAATATGATCTAAATGCACACCATTGTCTTAGAAATCCAGCTTATCAGAACGGAAAAGATCATCTATTTCTCAGCTTTCTTTAAACTACTGCGATTTTACAGTGGAGTGAAAACCTAACTTGCTATACTTTCACCCACTATATTTCACAATTTTCACGTCGTATCTGTTCATAAGTCAATACTTCTTAGGGATTTTAGGATCTGCTCATAGAACTCACAAGTCATCTTGTTTTCAATTAGCTTGATGAGTGCATAAACCACTAAATATGAATGCGTATTCCTCTCTTTACCAATTGACCATTTGAAAGAAATCATTTTATAATTGCACTGGGTTGTATAAAGTAAATACTACGTTCTTTTGTATGACCAAGTTGGAGTAGGAAAAACTACCCGACAATCATGAGCGGATGCAAACGTAGAAAACAAAAGTACTTCGGAATAAGAAGGGTGGTGAATGGAGAAAGACTAGAACTGTTAACCGTCTGATTGAAACTTTACTATCTGCATAGTAAGGTCAGAGTTTACGTATAAATGGAAGTCAAAATAAATAGTAGTAATGAGGAAAATACCATTGAATAACTGATTTGTAAATATAATGCTAACCTTTGTTATGGTCGTCAAATGTCGTCACCTCTTCATAGGGTATTTCTAAATTCTCCTTTGACTGTGAGATATTAAAATCGCGTTCTGATTCATTTTCCTCAGTGATTTCTTTGTCTAACACTTCACTTGTCGTATCTTCATATTCATTCAAATTTACTCCAGACTGTTCCCTGTCAGATATGGTAGTGAAAATTCTTTCATCTATCTCTTGTTCTTCAATTGAACCACGTAGAGCATCTTCTGCAGATTGCATTGCTTGTAGTATGCGTGTCATTTCATGTTCAGTTTGCTCGAGTCTAACACGAAGACGCGACAACTCTTCCGTATCTATAATTTTCGAAATATGAAATATCAAGTTACTTAGGATTAGCAACAATGGATGCGTTGAAACAGTTATGAAATACACGTTAAAATGCCTGGCTGAATTCCCTCTTAAAATCACCCTGATAAATAATCTGGCAGTAAAATCTATAGGTCAGTCAAAATTACATGTAGGTTTTGGTGGGAAGAAATAGTAAATTAAATATTGGCTGAGTTATTTAAACAGACGAATGACGTAGGATCTTCCACACTTTGCATCAACACGAAAAAGAACATCTGCAATCTTGAAAAACGGCAAAGAGTAATGAGGAGTTAAAAAATGGAGAACAAGTAAAAAGACGTATATGATAGTCAAATTAAGAGTAGTAAGTAGACCGAACTTACCCAAATCTTGGCGTTCCATCCTCATAAGCAATTTTCCCAAATCTTTGGGTAAACTTTTAGCCGAGCGATAAATATCTGGGTAAGAACCCTTGAAAACGGAACCCCATTCAAATGGTTTGCGGTTTGAATCTACATGTTGAAAGGAAAAGTAAACTTGTTAATTTCAGTCTACTCAGCACTTAGCGTAGGTCTTTGATTTTCAATTAAGCAGAGATTTTCAAGCCACAATAAGCTAAACTAATGAGTGAAATATTTCTTGTTTGTATTCCCACTAGATGTTTGCTTTTTATTTAATATTCTCTTCTCAAGCAGTTTCTGTCAGAATAGTGCAATAAAAATGCAATGGTGAACAATGTGAGTTAACATGTAGCGCTTTATACGTTTCTTTGAAGTTTGGGAGAAGCAATATTCAGCCTCTTCTACCAAGTGTTCTCCAAACCTATTTCTACATCTATAGTAAACATTTCGAGAAGTGGATAACTTATATAACAAGAATAACAATAATTAGTAGCATACAAAACTAATGGTTTGGTAAGGATCAGTGTGAAGTTATGGCATGGTTGTGCACAAATGAGATATTTTAAAGTAAATGTAATAAACCATCACTCTTTATTGGGTTAAGTGAAAAGGGAAACAAATTACCTTCAGATGATTTTCTAGAACTAAGAAAATTTAAATTTGGATTTCCAAATGTGTCTGTTTCAGCGGTGTCATCGTCATCATCGGACGAGTCATGACCCATGCGAAATTTACCCCGATCAACATCATAATGGAAATCACGATAGTATTGTCGTAGAAACTCCTCTTTTTTATCAGTATTTTTCCGGCGTTTTGACGAAAATATCTACAAAAGGATGAAAGAGATTATTCGGCATATCACTTCATAGATTTCCAATACTTTATAATCGATAGTATAATGCTGACTAAAGATAAGAATATGGTAAATCTCGAAATTTGAACAGTTGGGCTACATGTCTGAAGCCTGCATCATTTATCTGAGTCTGCACAAACAAATGATCTTTTTAGTCCACGAATTAGAATGTGTTTATTTGTCTACTTAGTCGTTTCGATCGAAAACTGCTCAAGAACGTTACTTGTTTCCGAAACAAAACAAATTACGAATCACTAATAATGAAAGTAGCACCAGATACAAACTATAAGAGCAACAAAATCGAAACAGGTTTACTGATTATTGTGAACTATCATGCGTAGAGATTTAGAGAACACATGTAGCTCAAGTTAGTCAAGGTCTTTCTGATGTTTTTACGAGTTCAGTACTTGATGTTATCAATACGTTTAAGCTCTTGGTAGACAGTGAGCAACCAGAGAGTTTTTGGAGATTAGACTAACTGCCTTCTGAAGTTTTAAGCTTGAGGTTACGATCTTTAGGTTTCCAAGTGGATAACCTATTCACATTTCGCCACGAAAGTAGCACTTGATGCCAACCGCTTAGGCTCATTATCTGTGATAAGTTGAAGCGATTGTCTACCATTGTCAACCAACGCTAGCTTCCTCATCCTCGTTGTCTAATAACTTATTATTGTTACATAAACATGTTATCAGTCAGCAATGATATTGATTTCAGTTTTCATACTGGTTGGAGCTCCCTGTATCAATATTGAGGAAAATAAAAGTAACACCTAGATTCTAAATATATCACAAAAACGACATAACCATGACACGGGATTCAATATTTTGATAAATGATCCCCATCGACTAATTATAAGTAGGGTCGAACACTGACGGCTTCAACATGTAATTTGAACGCAAATTTAAGTAGCCAGGAAGATATTGCGGACCCAATATTCCGGTATTTGGTACATATAAACCGGACGTTGAGGCGAGCTTATGTAGAAGAAGTGATAATAAAGATGATAAAACTGAGGAAGGAGGAAGACTGACGATAAGAAAGACGGACTCCAGTTTTGCTAAATGTATAGTTGATGAGTATTATTTGATTACACACACTATGAGAAATTATTTGTTTCCTAAACAACTTAACACAAAGTACATTAGCAATATACAAGCCTGTGGCTAATAAGAGATCTGATTGAAGCAGGTTACATGAAAATTTTGTGGGTGCTTTTTCTCGTTTTAGCTATGCTCAGTTTGCACGTTTTAAGTCTTACAGATCACCTTAGACATTCTCATGATAGGTGTGCGTTGTTTTTAGGTTTGACATATTCTATTCCCTTATCTCGTCTGTGAAGTAGGGTAGGTGGTGTTCGACCGTGTAGAATAACTTACTGCAGTTAAATTCCGACACGACTGGCAGTAAAACTTCATTTTGAGATATGAAATTTTCGTAATAAACGATTACCAACTAACCTATCTGAGATGGTAGGACCTCGAAAAACAGTTGTTCCAGGTAGTATATCTCGACTGGGTTGTTACGATAGACAACTACATCAGAGTGGTATCTACAGTATGGAAAATAGTCAATACGGAATCTATGTAAGTGGGGCAGAGTTCGAACAAACTAGTAAACAAAATATAATTTGGTACTGTCGCAATCCTATTTTGGCATCTGAGACTACAGTTCATAACGAAATATAAAACTGAAGATTATGAGGAAATATACAAAATCTCACCTTTGAAAGTGTGTAAAACAAATATAACACTATACCAACAGCATAAACAGGCAAAACGATCGACATAATTCCACCTCTTTTCCCTTGATCCTGTTGAACAATCCCTTCTGAAGCTCTGATAGGTTTTTGTGCGTGATGACCCTGTAAAGCGCTCGATAAAGTCACAAGAACGTACATTTAACCGGAGGTTTTCAAACCTGGTATGCTCTATACAAACAGTAAGTTGGTTAAAGTGGTACATTACCTACCTTCTGTGTGCCTATTTTTTGTAAAACCCAGTAGATGAAGAAGCATCGGATGGAAGATTTTGGGATACAGTATTGAGAAGCATGCTATTATAACACCCAAAACCAGATAGGTTTGTACACGAACTGATATCTGGGACATGTTAATAGTCAGTGCATTAAATCTAAAATAGTTTATGGAGTAATACTGAGTTATAAGTGATATATCCAAGCACACAATAACAGTAGCATCGTTTGATTTCTTCATTAAAAAGGCATCACGAGATAAAAGACTCGTGTAATATTAAGGACATGCAGATATTGTTGTATTCAAAGAGATCTGATTATATGACAAGATTATAATGTGATACACCTTCTAAGTGGTTTCAACGCTGTATGCACATACTATGACTTAACAAGGCTAATAATAAAACCTAACTTCCGTTTCTTTTGCTTTTGATCTAGCTGGTTTTTTTGCTGTGCTGATTTAAACTGAAGGACTTTGGAGGAGCGTATAATTGTCAGATGAGAATGATGACCGACCATCTGGGCAAAACTAACATAAGCCGTTTAGTCTTCTGTTATCACTAAACAAAAAATGGATGCCTACGTAGTCTCCAGTCCTTAACATATAAATGGATGAGGAAACAACTGTTTCATAATTTGCTGATGGTTACCGAGTACTTGATCAATGGAAACAGATATCCAAACAGTAACTCTTGAGAACTTAACAGTAGTGCGGAAGGCAAATAGCACGAACATGATCTGACACCCTACGAGTTGTTCTAAGCTTATATGGGTCGTTTGGTTTCTTTTGGTTTGTTTCTACCTGTTTTGCTAAGGTTTTAGGATTTTGAAATGACCATTTGTCAGTCCAAATAAAGCCAATCCAATCTCCCGATTTTGGGAAAAATTTGACCCATTTTAGGGAAGCTACTATACAAAATTTTGAGGAAATAGCACCAAAACATCAATATTTCCCTTGAACCTTGATGAAGGGCATTCGACTTTGGGAATTTCCCCAACATTTGGGAGATTGAGGAGGTCACTGCAACAGTTTCTCTTTGAGGCATACGACCCTATAAAAGGAATTTTCGGTTAGAAAACGTTTTTTGTATTAGGTCTTCACAATTACAATCAAGTAAAGCGGACAATCAATTCATCACTAGTTTCAACAATCGACCAGCTGTAACACACAACGACATACGACAGCTTTTAGGCGGGAGATCCACTACAATATGATGCTTATTACAGGTTTGATATGTAATGACCTAATCACGGGGCAAAGGAAATATTTTCTAGCTTGAACTCTTTCCTCTTTCGTGTTAGTATGCCTCATAAAAAACACTTACGCTCACGAGAACTTAAACACCCCACTGATATCTGAGGTTATTTACAATGATCAATAGTTTTGAGAAAAACTTGTCCGAACCTGAAATTTAAGAGCAGAATTAGGACACTGAATGCGCGAAATAATAAAGCATAGCTTCTGCTTACAATTGACAGTCTAGATTTACTGATATTGAGTTGAAAGGGATTCTCCTAGTCTAGTTATATCATCTGGAACAGTCAACTAATAATCTGAGTCTAATATTTACCTCCAAACCTGAAGACTGCTCATACATAGCAGGGCTTGAGGACAGTAAGTAGCGAGTCTTGGACTTTGGTGCGAAATTCATATAGTCATGTGGTTAAATAGTATTTTTACATTATTGCTGATGTCAGTTCGTGGTGAACAAACTAGCTCCTAGTCCTAACCCTAACGTCTAACTCTAAGTCCTAATACTAATACCAACTTCAATTTATAGGCGTCTTCTGACCTTGGTAGACAGGCTACTATTCCAAAGGTTTATTTGGCGCCGACCATAAATTATGGCCTCACCTCTGCAACAATAAAAATCCAGTCGTTGGGTTTCCGTAAACTGAAGTTAAGAAAAATATTTTTTCAGTGTGCGTGGAGATCCGTTTTCCGTCTGCCGACTGTGAATTGGAGACCTACCTTGCAGCTGATAGTTATTATTCGCAGGAATTACGCCCGATTCCATGTCAATGTTGAAAAGATAGAGGACTTTTGTCATCAAATCGATGTACAACAAACGTCTATGTCGACCGGCCACGGTCGCGTAAATGCGTGCCGGTGAGCAGGTTTTCTGAGAGGTTTGTCGTGCTGTATGGTTCGGGCTAGAGGAAACTTCTAGATTTCTGGCGATTTCTAAGGGATTTAAAATAGTTACTGTGATACTAACATCATTCTATGATGTTTGTTTCTCGTGGTCTCGAAACAAATCCTTTACGTGGCGGGTTTCTTTAGGGACTCTCGGGGGGGTTTGCGACTATGATAAATGTTGGGGAAACGAGTGGTAGTATTAGGTAGATATGTAATGTAACTGTGCGTTGTGATCGCTAGAATCCAATCGGCAGATGCAGCTAGTTTATCTACGGCGTCGTATTGGAATGAGACAAAAACAGCCTGCACATGTGGCTGTTGTGTCGTGATCGCGGGGGCCAGCTTCTGCATAGCAGGGACAGGCTTCCCATTTGCCAGGCCGTATCGTTATATAGTGGACAGTGGGGGAGGTAATAGTCCCCATCTTTAAAAGCGATCTTTAACACAAATGCGATGCGTTCATCTAAATTCATTTCCAATAGATCGCAATAAACCGATGTTTTTGTCCAACTCATCATACGACTTAGTATACATGTTTTTGTACGTCACAATTCACCACACCGATCTGTCGACGCTGTATATGTGGGACCCTATGAAGCAATTAGCTGTGATTCCAAGTCAGATACGATTGGTAAGACCTGGATAGAAAGATACCATCAGCATCTACCGTCTAAAAGCGATTTACTTTCTCACTAAATAGTCGAACCACATGGTCCTTACGGCTAAGATGAAACCAAACAAACAACCAAGGAAATCGATGAAACGTCTCTATCATCCGACAGCTGGCCTGAAATCGCATGCTCTGGAAGAACTGCAAAGTTTCCGGAACGACTAAAGGATTACACAGAGTATTTCATAAGCTTTTGTATTCTATAGCCATTAGGTTGAATTCTCAGTTTTTTTACTTCGTGAAAAAGACAATAAACAAAATATGTTTATACGCATAATTCATTTAAAATCATACCAATTTTTTTCAGTATGCATGAGTATGTGTGCATTTCTCTCACAAAATCACCCTACAAAAATCTTTTGTGCATGATAGTTCTCGCCGCCTCACGATATTTATTCATATATATGCTCATGAACGGCTTTTTTCATCAAGTCTTACATACTTAAGCAAGTACGAGTGTAAGTTGGCAATCACTTACATGTACAGATTGACAAGTTTCCGGAAAAAATAGTTTTGTAAGTCTTAGATATTGATGCTGACCCCATTAGTTTTCTTAAACACACCTTAGCTGAAGGCGTTCAGTCCCTCATGAGCATCAGTTCACCATTGGACGTGATATGCTTCACATCCTTCTCGACATTTAACCAGCCCAAACCAAGTGTTACGAAAGAACTGAAGACTTCTGGCAGATTGAAACCTTTTATTGTACATTAATAATTTACTGTGCTTTTGGATGTAATTGTTTTACTTAACTTTTGAACTTGTTTGTTTATATCATTATTTCGGACATTTTGGTTTGTCTTTGGTTTGGTATTTTGGTGCTCTCTTTGTCTTTGGTTTGGTATTTGGGAGTTTTGCTCCGGGAGCCTACAAAATTGAAGGTTTGTTTTGTAATTGTTATAATTATTGTTGTTAGAACGACATTTGGTCGATTATTTGTGAATTACGAATAAATTTGGTATCTAAATTGGAACTTGGTTCTGTTGTTAATTTGGGTTCGTAATTTGCAAGTAGATCGATGGTCCGTACTTCAATAACTGGAACGAGCAAAACTTAGACGTAACATAAAGTTCTTCAATTTTGGTTCTGTGTTCATATCTTGGATTTGTCTGGATATTTTGGATCCAAATTCCTGGTCTTATTGGTCGGTTTGTTTGGATTAATTCAGATTTGTTTTGGTAATTGATTATTTGGAGCAACAAACACGATGGAAACACGGAGCAAAAGGCTGAAGGAAAATGAAGAAATGGATAGTAAAACTTCCAAAGCTGTTTGTGGTATGTCTGATGTTAATGATGATAAATGTGATGATGTTAGTCTTAATAGTATGTCCTCTAGCCAGCTAAGTACTTCTAGATTAAAATTAGATAAAGCATTACTGAGGAAAAGGAATTTAGAAAAGAGACTTGAATTAGAACGGCAACTTAAGATGTTAGATCTACAAGAAGAGGTTGATATCGCTGAACTAGAATGCAAGGCCATCGAGGATGATGAACGATTACCCGTAGATAAATGTGGGATAAATGCTAAAGTGGAAAATTATTTGGATTGTGATACTGGGTGTAATAATCACTCAGGGCAGGCATGTAACATCTCAAATGTCGATTGGGTTGGGGAGCTGAAGGACACGTTACATACAATGGTTAGTAACATTGTAAGAATCAAACTACGGTTTGGATGGTGAAGAATAGCCTCCCGTGACTTTAGACACGCGCCCTTCCCCGTCGAAATCAGAACAAGTAATCGGGTAAATAGCGGTTCTATAATTCATCATAAATTTAAATGTAAATCGTTACCTAAACAAATATTACCACCCGGCTATTCAACCAATGATTGTTCAATCAATTAAATCTAAATTACAATAAATAAAGAAGTTGATAGAGGATGAGGAAAAATTACCAGTTACAACAAATGAACGTTATTCTATCCTGACTGGATAGATCACACACAACAGGAGGAGCAAATCAATATGGCCACCGCCAAGAACAAGTGTCAAGTAAAACAACACAGATGCAGTTCAGGAAGAAAGGCAAACTTAGTGAATGCGTAATAGAAACAAAACTATAATAAAAAATACAAGTATAAACAATTCAAATGTAACCAAAATACAACAATGTACAACTAAGGGGATCAATAGGAACAAAGTACAAGTATATACATGGAGGGATTTTCACTAACACACAAAACATTCAAAATGGATCTTACACCGGCCCCCAAAATCCCTCCATACCATACAAGTTTCCTTGATGCCTACGGTCATGGTTCATCATATAACATATTACACTATAGGAACGAGTAGGACTTACAGCAGTACGCCTACTCGACCTAACTACATTAATAATACGAGGAACTAATTCGAGCCTTCAAGGAGGCATAATCTACGTATATCTCTCCTGACTAATCCACCGTTCGTACGAACAACGACTGTTCTAACCCTTCCGTCGTCATCTATTTCACAATCTTCAACTACGCCCAAGGGCCATTCTCCACGAGTCGATATGTCCGAAGCTACGAGCACTACATCCCCTTTCTGAAAATTGCGGTGTTCAACTAACCACTTTTGACGTTTTTGTAGGGACGGTAAATACTCTCTTAACCACCTTTTCCAAAACACATCAGCAAGATGATTAACCTGTTTCTAACGTTTGTCATATTTATCTCTGATGCTACCTTCTTCGACTATTCCGTAACATTCTCTCAATAATAACAAACTATTTGGCGACAAGGCTAGTTTATCGTTAGCATCTTGAACGATCGGAGTTAAGGGTCGATCGTTCAATATCCTTTCAATCTCAATCAAATAAGTGTTTAAAATCTCATCGCTTAGAGTCTGCTCTCTAGTTATCAACAATAACGGTCGACGTATTGACCTAATCATCCTTTCCCAAACTCCACCCCTGTGGCTGGATAAGGGCGGGTTAAAATGCCACTGAATCTGCCTAGCTGACAGTTCTTTGTCTATTTTCTGTTGACTCCACTGTTGCACAAATTTCTTTAACACAGAGACCGCACCCACGAAATTTGACCCATTGTCACAGTAAATTTCGGCAGGTTTTCCTCTTCTTCCAATAAAACGTAACAAGGCCATTATAAACGAGTCAGTATTCAAACTATGTGTCATTTCAATATGTACTCCTCTGGGTTTGCAAGGAAGTAAATACACATCCATATCTTTTTTCTACTGATCTTCCTCTTCTGACAAAAAGGGGTCCAAAGTAGTCTACTCCCACGGCTGAGAAGCTATACCATCCTTGTTGCACTCTACAAGCTGGGAGTGGTGCCATCAATTGTTGCCCTGTAACCATCGTATACCGCCGGCATGTCACACACTTTCCTATCACTCTCTTAACCGTGCTGGTTTCTTTTATTATCCAATACCTTTTTCGAATCGTGGCCAGTACTTGTGACGTTCCTGTGTGCCCTTGTTCCTTATGATAATGTCTAATTATCATTTCTGTCACTAAGTGTCGACTGGGCAATATTATTGGATGTTTAAAGGCATTTGAGAAATCTGAGTAGCT